GACCAACATTAAACAGTAGAAGAAGAGACCAACATTAAACAGTAGAATAAGAGACTAACATTAAACAGTAGAAGAGACAAATATTAAACAGTAGAAGAAGAGACAAATATTAAACAGTAGAAGAAGAAAACTTACCCTCTCAGCAGTAAATGTCCTGCCAGCTGTTTGTAGCTCCAGCTGTGAGGAAGTTCCCTGTACATACAGAGTTGTAGTACCAGTGAACAGTACTAGAGTAGTAATACAATCATACTAACAAGGTACAACTTTATTCTGTCAATCTGAGTGACTGTGTAGTTACCGTGGTAACGGTGTGACCTCGCTGATGATGCCTTCGGCGCAGAGTGTGATGCCATGAACGATGAAGGTGCTGCCCATCCCCTTCCACAGAGACTTCATCCCCTGACAGGAACACAGTATTGATCACTGAGCAGTCCATTTGATCTGTGCTGATCAACTGATCAGACTAGTCACATGGCCAGGACATCGAACGTGCAATCAGGACGTCGGCCGTGTGATCAGGATATTGTTGGAAAAATTTAATATCCATTCATTGTCTACTTAGTGAAAATAAGACGCACTGAGGACACGAGAAGATTTTATCCGGTTTACTACTTGCAAGGGGCAGAGTTCACACACAGGCTTACACAAATGTTACACTGAAGCTCCGGTCGCGAGGTCTGCCCCGGACAGTATAATGAAGTGTTTTTTATAATGCTTATCAGACAGACACTGATGACCTTGGTCTGCCAGCTTATAGACTCAGAGGAGTCAGGAGTTATCAGGTGTGCATGCTCCTCTTGGAGAGGAAAACAACTCTCTGAACTCACATATATTAATTTAGCATTAGTAAGTGATAAACATACATAAACCTTTACCTAAATTCCTCTACGGACATTGCTCTTGAGATCAGTATATTGGCCATGCAATCAGGATATCGGTCATTCCTTTTCAGTACCGTAGCTAGTCTAATGAAAAATCCTATCTCTGTATGTAACTATAAGCAGTGATGACTTCATGAGATTCTTTATAAATAAAATAGTTTCAATTAGGGGAAAAAAATCAAACCAACATTCCTAGTATCACCTCTGGTTCTGTGTCAGATGAGGCAACTTTAAAAATGTCACTAAAACCTGATTTATGTTTGGACTGTTTTTGTCATGTTGAGCTCTCTGAATTGTCAAAAATAATAACTTCATCCAAATCATCCACGTCTGCTAGATCCCATCCCAACCAGGCTATTTAAAGACTTATTAATAATCAGGCCTAGGATCTGCTTAATTTTTCTCTAATAAATGGTTATGTATAGGGCTGGGTGATATTGACCTAAATGAATATCTCAATATTTTTAAGATAAATCGCGATATACGATATATACCTCTATATTTTTTCTTCAACTAAAAATACACTAAGCACTAATAGCATAAAAACATTACGTTGAACAGCAGCACGAACATGAGCATGAGTCTGAGTGAGCAGATGAGCACACATGAACACATGAACATGAAACAGATCAGCAGCAACATGATGTGATTTTTCACAGTGATTATTCTGGTTAGAGATTCATGAGTCTAACAGTGTATGAGCATGACTGAAAATAAGTCTGAATGAGTCTAACAACAGAGTATAAGACTATATTGTTTTATATAGATATAGTCTCATTTTATATTGTGAATTAGGTTATATTGATTCTTTTTTTTATTTTTTTTATCGATATATCACCCAGCCCTAGTTATATACCACAGGGCTTTAAGATTGCTGTAATTAAACCTTTACTTAAGAAGTCTGATCTTGATTCAGAAATTCTGGCCAACTAGACCTAAATCTAATCTAACTTTCATCTCACGAATTCTAGAGAAAATAGTTGCAGGTCAGTTGCGTGAACATCTACAAAGAAATAATCTGTTTGAAGAGTTTCAGTCAGGGTTTAGAGCTCATCATAGCACAGAAACAGCACTAGTAAAAGTCACTAATGATATTCTCATGGCCTCAGACAATGGACTTGTGTCCATACTGGTCCTGTTAGACCTCAGTGCTGCATTTGATACAGTTGATCACAATATTTTACTACAGAGGCTTGAATATGATATTGGGATTACAGGAATGGCTCTAAAATGGTTTAAATCATATCTATCTGATAGATTCCAGTTTGTATATGTAAATAATAAATATTCTTCATACACCATAGTTAGTCATGGAGTTCCTCAGGGACTAATACTAAGATTAATACACTTTACCTTATATATGCTTCCATAGGGTAATGGTATTAAACAACATGAGATAAATTTTCATTGTTATGCTGATGACACACAATTATATTTGTCCATGAAACCCAATGAATCCAATCAGCTACTTAGACTACAAGCATGTCTTAAAGACATAAAAACCTGGATGACCCTAATATTTCTGCTTTTAAACACAGACAAAACTGAGGTTTTAGTTTTTGGACCTGATCATCTTGGGAATTAATTTTTCAGTTTTTCTCCCTCCTTAGATGGCATTAATCTGTCCTCCAGCTCTAATGTTAAAAATCTTTGGTGTTATTTTTGATCAGGACATGTCTTTTATCCCCCACATTAAAAACGTTACTAGAACTGCCTTCTTCCACCTGCGTAATATCACTAAAATTATAAACATCTCATCTAAAAATGATGCAGAAAAACTGGTCCATGCATTTGTCACATCTAGACTGGACTATTACAATGGTTTATTATCTGGATGTTCAAATACGTCTTTAAAACGTCGTTCAGTTGATCCAAAATGCTGCTGCCAGAGTCTTAACTGGAGTTAGTAGCAAAGATCATATCTCTCCAGTTTTAGTTTCTCTCCATTGGCTCCCTGTCAAATCCAGAATAGAATTAAAAATCTTACTTCTAACCTACAAAGCTCTCAACAACCTAGCTCCATCTTATATTACAGATCTTATTTTCCATATTTTCCTAACAGAGCACTTCACTCTCAGGCTGCAGGTTTACTTGTGGTCCCTAGAGTTTCCAAAAGCAGAATGGGAGGAAGATCTTTCAGTTATCAGGCTCCTCTCTTGTGGAACCAACTTCCAGTTTGTGTCCGTGAGGCTGACACATTATCCAGTTTTAAAACTGGGCTTAAGACTTTCCTTTTAGATAAATCCTATAGTTAGGGTTGGCTTGTTATTCTGCTATAGGTTTAGACTACTAGAAGACAAACTGACCACATTTCCATAAATTAATTGTTAAAATTGAATAATTTTCATTTGATACTATTTCTATCTTAACATGTGATTCTTGACCTGCCATTGTGTATCTGTTCCTCCTTCCTGTTCCTCTCAAACTCAGCCGGTCAAAGCAGATGGCCGCTTGTCCTGAGCCTGGTTCTGCTAAAGGTTTCTTCCTCATGAGGGAGGTTTTCCTTTCCACTATCTCCTTCATGCTTGCTCAAGATGAGAGTCTGTGATGGAGTTAATCTCAAAGCAGTCTGCTCCTCATAAATAATAATTAACATTATTTATCTATAAATATGAATGTTTCTGTTCAGTGCCCTGAGACGACTTCTGTTGTGACTTGGTGCTATATAAATAAACTGAATTGAATAATTCAGGATACTGGTCAGGTGATCAGGGCATCGAACGAACGATCATGATATCGGTGCCCCTTACCCCAGTTATCAGTCGTGCGACCAGAACATCATTTGGGCAATCAGGAAATCCGTTGGATGAACAGGATACCGGTCATGTAATCAGGATTTTTTTTTTTTCATTTACCCTTTATTTATCCAGGCAGTCTCATTGAGCCACGAGAACTCATTTTCAAGAGAGACATGTTTAGGGAGCAGATGGAGGTTAAGGGCCTTGCTCATGGGCCCAGAGTGGGGCGAATGAGGGTGGGGGCAGGTGTGGGTGCTTCACCTACAACACTCATATTTTTGATGTTGTTGGTACCGGGACTTGAACTGGCGATCTTCCGATCACAAGCCCACATTCTCTAACATCTGTGCCACAATTTATTGAGCATGCATCAGGAGATCAGGATATTAGTTGTGTGATCAGGATATTGGTATTGTGATCAGGATATTGGTAGTGTGATCAGGATATTAATTGTGTGATCAGGATATTAGTTGTGTGATCAGGATATTAGTTGTGTGATCAGGATATTAGTTGTGTGATCAGGATATTAGTAGTGTGATCAGGATATTAGTTGTGTGATCAGGATATTGGTAGTGTGATCAGGATATTAGTTGTGTGATCAGGATATTAATAGTGTG